GTACAACTCTTATGTATTATTACATTCTAGTACATGCTCAAGTACTTACATTTTGCTCCAAAGCCGTTACTTCCTGTTCAGATTTTACTAGCTTGAATTTCAGGTCACTAATTTGCCTGTTAGCATCTCCTAAGAAAGACCAAACACCAAAATCACCAAAAATGCCATTAGAAAGCTTCAGGTTTAACAGGTTTAACAGGTGAATTGGAGAAAAATCAATATTTAGAAAATAGATCTCAGATTAATCCCACATTAGATCTTCAACGTTTAAAATGCGGTAACTGCACATCAACCACATTTGACCTTTAAACTGGGAGGGTTTTACCATGCAAAGTTTATTAATCAAGCCAAATCAAATCGTTAACAAGGCATTTCACTCCAGAGAAAGAATGACTGATTTTTGTCAGTCATATTCTGAGCAAATCTTACTCTGTAAATCTAGGACGTGCACATCTGTGCCATTTTCCAGAATGGTGTTCTCAGTTCCTGCACTTTCCCCTGTCCCATTCTTCTGCTTGTCCTCAATCTGCGCCTTAAGCTTCCTCACCTGCAACACACGGGACAGATGAGATTGTACTTAGTGGACAAAAACCGCCAACTGAAGGCATTACAAAGTTGGAGATGGTTTAAAAACTGTCCTGTACCATCTCTTCTCTCTAGGTATTCAATACAGACTGTACCAAACACCACTGCAAATTGGTCTTAATTTTATAATACAGAATCTAATAATGGTAAATTAATAACAGCATAATTACTCATACTGTATGTTGGACATATTTTCACAAAACCAGTAGAGTACATATTAGTGTATACTCATCAATATTAATAGTTGGAACATTTTATAAGGATGTCATGTGCATTCTATACTGCAGTATAACTTTCAAATGTAGCTGTGCTTGTGTCTTAGACATGAATATCTCCTTAAGTATGACCGGAACTGCCGATTAAAAAGCTGACCATGAGAACAGTCACTATGTTACACATAATAAGTGATGTAAGTAATGCTAACATCGCATAACTTTATGGTACATATATCTTTTGCTGATACTCAGTAGTCTGTATACAAGTCATTTATCAGTTAAATGAATAAACCATCTTGCCCAATACTGCACACACCACTTTGCATGACCGATTCCCTCACTCATCCACGTTTTCATGCCAACCCATGTCTCACCTTCTCTGTTGAGAAGAAAAACAGCTGATGAGGGAGCACATTAGACTCACCTGCTCTACTAAACTCTCCCGTTCGTCGACCAGCTTTCTCAGTCGAATCTCTGAAAGAGTAAAAAACAACAAACGGAAGTGGAAAAGACGTTAAGTACCAAAAACTTCCATTTTAAACTTCCATTGTGCCTCTACCCATCTTATACTGTAATTGCAGTAAATTCTGTATATAACTACAGGAAGAAAACACTTCTCCAACCACCATTTTCAGAGCTGAAATGACTAATCTTACCTGCGAAAAACCTACATTAATCATCAGGTCCTTAATTTATAAGAAACCACTTCCAGTTGACTATAATATACATTTTATGTATTATCGTAGGTTTAGTATTTCCTTTCTAAATTGTTCACATGAACAATCAACAGTATTTAAAAGTACAATTAACAAACATTTTCACCTGAAATAAAAAACAGTAGTCAAATCAAGACTTCTAGGTTTATTGATTATGAACTTTATTATCCTCTGTGCTGAGGATGAACCTGTTTGCTGAACATCCAGCGGAACACACACAAGACACTGTTCACATACCAGGGAAAGGTGGCGATGTCAAAGGTATGGAAGGGGAGGAGTTCAGTCAGGGTAGGTGCATAGTTCACAAGTTGCATGCAAATGTAGTCTTATCTTCTACAGGGTTAGCATGCAATAACTGCAGGGTGTAGACACAGCTGGAACACAAAACCTCATGCCGTTTTGCAATTAAAAGCTTCTAGCTCACCAAATTTAAGAATAAAATAAACATCTTCTGCCCTTTATCTACATTTATATAATAAATTCATGTATTATAAATGCTGCCATGTATGCAGGACATTATGAATAAAAATGCTTTAACTGCTCAGGAAATGTTTTTTTTTTAAAAAAGAGGTGTCTATGTATTTAAGTGAGACAGAAACTCATCTACAGAATCAGGGTGAAAAGATGAGATGTGCAGAGGACTAAAGTTAGGAAAAGAGTCACTAAGAAGGAAGATGTGGTACAAATATCTACAGATGTTAACATGTAATGCACAGTGGGTATTTGACATAAGACATAACTTTTTTTAACATGGCAAACATCACAATCTAGACACATTAAATGGAGCATTACTAAAATCAGTAAAGCAATATCAATTTAAATAAGCAACCGTAACATCTGGTAGGACAACATTCATTTATAACACTATTTAGTAAATAACAATGTATTTCATAACACTTTCCTCAAGTGTTGTGAAATTAAGCCATGCAGGCAGCATCTGAAGTTGTTATTTTTAATAGACAGCCATAATAGAACATCACTTGCTATAAACTCAGTGTCCAGATGATGGTGTGCAAGTTACTACCTTGAGTAAAAATGAGATTCCTGACTGGAAAGAAGCAATATCAGCACCTACCTGGCTGACATGCATATGCACACAGTACAAATCAATACTCTTTTATGTCATGTGTTGTTTTTCAGAGTTCAGTGTTCTTAATGGGTTGAAATACTGCATCGTTTGGTAACCTGATCAAGAATCTTCCACAATACCCACACATGAACTAGTTCGAATGAATAGCAATTCTATTGCTTCTGAGAAGTACGAGAAAATAAAAATAAAATAAATAAATAAAGGATGCACATATACCACAGACAACCATATTAGCAGTAGCCACGCTACAGAGTACAGTGGCAATAAAGGTTCAACTCAAAAGCTTTCTGAGATACAATACATAAAAGCAGCTTTTTTATGAAGACAAAACAGTGGCCAAAGAAGTGAAATAAACTTGGGTTGCTAACAGCCTTGTTGCCAACAGCAGTATTTGCAAAGGTTAGTACCATTGATAACAGCATTTCTAGACAACAGGTTTAATTTATATGAAACTAGGAGAAACTGCTCTAGTGAAACTGCTCTTAAATTCTGTCTGTTCCTGGGCTCTATACTGTGTACGCCACTGGCTCAACATGATACAGCCAGGAATATGACATGGAATATGAGTGGTTTGTGAATAGAAACTACTGTTAATTGTGTAGCCTGCAGAACTTTAAGGTCACTTTGATAAAAATCCCAAAGGACATAAATAACAGTCCACTGTATACACACACATCAACCGTCTGACACCTTTTTGACATTGGCAAGTCAGGCATGGTCACAGAAAATAATAAAATTGATTTTATTCATTAATTTAATTGCATACAAAATACATCCCAGAATTTATCTTTGGTTCATAAAGATGATGCCATTTTACCATACAATTCACTGCACTTACAGTATATCCATAATGTCAAACTACTTTTCTAGAACAGCTTTGCATTAAACCACGTTGAAAGACTATACTTTCCATTTATCAGGTTTCAAAATAATTTAAAGTTTTACAGCATCTGCTATCTAAATACCACAAAAGATGCTAAAGGGGAAGAACTGTCATGTGATATGTTTTAGAAATGGCCTAAATAGCTTTGTTTTTATGATATTACATCATTTCATGGCATTTAGACAGTGTGTTTATTATACATTTACTGTATTTGCATTACATTTAAACTGAAAACTAAAATGGCATGCTACTAGCAATACAGTATTTTAACCTATTTATTGGGTCTGCTTCATATTTTTGTTGGTACATACAAATTTACAATAGTACTACTGTACTGTACTAAGGGTAGACAAGTCTAACTGAAAACACTGTGAAAAAGATTGATTTGCCCCCAAGATCAACATTTCTTAAACATTTGTTGAAATAATTTCCATGACTCTTGAACAAGGAAAGTAAATTGGAAATAAAACAAGTAGGAAATAAATTCAGAATCTTAGCAATATTTTAATACAAATTGATAGAAGAGTATAGACTTTATGTAAGACATCATTATAAATTAGGCTGATTTATCATCTAAACACTTTCAAAAACTAATACAATCCTATACCAAAGGCTATTACAAAAATAATCTTCTGCAATTTGAATATTGGAAACGTAATGAAATTATTGGAAGCAAAAAAAATTAATTTTCTTTTTTATCTCAAATTCGTCAAATCAATTACAAACACTTACTGTACACAGCAAAAAATACCAAAGTAACATTCAAAACCATTCAGTACTTTAACATGTGATAAACACGAAGTGATTTGCAACCAATGCAAAATAATGTCTTTTCAGAAATACATATCTGCTCTGCTTTTTAAAGTGCTATTAAAATGCATTAGGGCATAATGTTTTGTTTAAAGAAAATGTACACCTCTTTATGTATTAATACACTACTTTGATTTTCAGTACATATGCACACAGAATTAATTTTTGAATACAGTATAAATGATGTTTATATGTATCTCATATATTATTCTCTGATTCATAAACTACAGTATTTCACATCCTTGTCTTTGGAAAGACTCACAACAAGACTTATTTTAAGCTATATATTTAGCATACACTTCTGTTTGCATCTTTGCATCCACTGAATGACCTGCTTAAAGGATAAAGTTTTTAATAGTCTTTTGAGCTTGAATAAATATTTACAAAGCAGTATTTGACAAATGCAAGAATTTTAAAACAAAAAACACTATAAATCCATTCTATTTAAACCATATTTTATACGGGGCTTCACAAGATTTCACTCCTTAGCAGATTCTTTTTCTTTTTAAGCTTTCATACATTTGCCTCTTTTTGT